CTTGGAGTAAATTCTGAAAAATAGCAAAACAAAAAGACAAGCTACCCGCTGAGCTAGGTTTGGTCTTGTTTCAGCAGAGGGTTCTTAAACTGTTTTCCCTTATTGTCCTGATTTTACGGTTTGGGAGATGTAAATGCACGAAGCTCAGGATGTGAATCCCTTGAGATTTTACATTTCTATTTCAGTCGGGAAGTGGAAGTAGTCTATCGCTTGACCTGACTGGGCTGTAAATACTTTGCCCCAGAAATGTTACGTCAATCAAATCAGGAATTAAAATGGAGAAGCCTAGTCATTCAGCCAGTTGTGTGGAAATGATGTGAAGATACGGTCCCAAAGAATTTTACCTGTTACCTTCATATGCAGCCTATTAAACTACGCTGTCCTGAGACAAGGTAGGCTGATCATTAAAATTGCCACTGAATAAGAAATCAAGTGAAAAATATCTCCTGCAAATGCTACTAGACTCTTATCAATTTTTTAATAGAAATAGCAGGGATATAGGCACAGGTATATTTCACATATCTTTAGTGAAATTTAGCTTGGAGCATATAAAGTCCTTCATGTGAAATATCTGTTAAGATCAATGCTTTAAATATAGAAGCTGATTTGAAAAATAATTCTTAACGTATGTTGTGTTCATCATGCTTATCAGAAGTTCAATTTTCTCTCAAAAAAGGGAAATCTTGAATGGTGCCTATAAGACCTGAAGTGTAATATCCTGAAAAGACTACTTGATAGAAGAAAAGAGTATTAAGTTATTCTTAAAGCCTTAATATAGCTAAATAACCATGTAACATTGCAAAGTACTCCCAACAAGCCTCTGGGCCCATTTGCTTTGAAACTTCTAGAAACATGAATTTCTATTACCTGCTCTGTCTTCTGGAAGAGGTTTTCATATCATATAAATGAAAAAGCAGGTGCTTATCAAACAGACAACACACATCAGTAGATCATGTTTTGCTTTTTTTTTTTTTTTCTAATAGCCAAATAATGACTGAGGAAACACAGTCACAGCATTCATGAAGAAGAAAAGAGAGAGCAAATGGATATAAAATTGACCTATCATTTTTTGTTCCAGTCTTTGGAGACTGCTGTACTCCACATCTGTTTCTTCTCCATAGTTTTATCATGATGGATCTTTTCTGCTGTAGCTTATAGGGCTCTAGGTCCTTTTAAATTCTTCCATTTTGTGTTTCTATTCCTACTTATTTTTTTTTCATGAGTTCTGAAAAAAATCCTAAAACACCCAGCAAACCACCAAACCCTAGCATCAGATCAAAAAGATGAAGAGCTCAATTAATATTTTTTGAGTTTTACATATAGCCTGCTACCATTAGAACCAGAAAGATTGGTTTCAAAGTACTATTAGGGGATGTGTGAGTATGTATATATATGTATGTATAATTGTATACATTATAGTTCTGGAAAAAAGTTACGTTGTAAAGAGCATTATGTTACTTGCACAGATACTGATAAGCAGCATGTCATCCTAGAACGTCCTCACTTTCTGGTTCTGATTACACCCTCTTAACCTAGTCTATACCTACGCACTGGAGTGCAATAATTCATGGAATATTATGGGCCATGTATATTTCAAGCTGGCTTCTCAAGTGACAGCATAACTCTTTCACAATCTTCTGGTCCAGTCTTCAACAGAGAATGTAAATCCTTGTCTCCTTTCCCTCCCCAGTGAATTTGAAGAGTGAGGCAATGTTCCCTCTATCCATGCACTGCACAAAAAAGCTCCCTACATTTCTTTCCATCTGTCCTCCCTCGTGGACTGCCTCTAAAGTGTCTAATGTATGGGCTGTGGGGAAAAGATTAGAAAAGAACATCTATTGAGAAGCCTCAGATGAGTATTTTTTCCAGCTCTGTTTGCTTTCGCTTAATATTTTTCGAGGAATTGTTGGAGAGAATTAGATTCAGTTCCTATTTATTCATTCACATAATGTGGTTTTTAGCACTTGTGCTCCACTTGAAGTGGCTTTGCAGGGCCATTTACAGGTAATTGAATTCCACAGTGCACTTTAAAATTATGTTCTTAAATGCAGTACAGAGTATAGTGCTTTAAGATTTACCTGTAAATTCATCTTTCCTTTAGTTTCAGGGAAAGAAAAGACGCCAGATTTATCTTGAGGCTTGACTGTAACAAAAAGCTATTTTTCCTTCTGTTTCCACTGAGTTTGCTGGAAGCTGTATCAGAAAGGAGCAATGACACCTATTTACAGCAATTTCAGCCAGAAAAAATAAGCGTATATGGTCTTGATTCTGTATTCTACTGCAAGCAGTGGGTGTTTGAGGTGGGCACTGACAAATGGAATCTCACTGTTTCTGGGCTTCTGCAACTTACATTTTGGTTTTCTTAGCAGAGTTTTTACTTATCTGTTAGCCTCCTGGCTCTTAAGACCTGCTGGTTCAAGCTCACTCCTGTGCTAACTTCTTCAATTGCAGTGAATTTAGCTTCTTCATTAGCACAATTGCAAGAAGAATTGCTGTTTTATCTATAGTGCTTCTGTGTTTTCCCCCTTTTACCTATAAAGTTCTCAGAAAATGACTATTCTTATAAGGATTGGAAACCATGATTATTTTTTTTATTCAGTTGTCTCAGGTTAATATATGACCTTTTACCTTTACTGAGGAATTTCCCCATATGTCTGCTCGAAGAATTTCCTTGGATGATTCTCTGTGGATTTCATTCCATGTTTTGTGGAAGTGAATTATGATTGGATTAGAAAGGCGTAAATCTTCCTGAGTTTTCAGGAGATGATTTCCTGGATTTCCAAAGTTAGCCATATGTCATTCTATCTTCACCAATGCCATGGGCTCTGTATCCCTGTTCCAGGTGGAATTGGTTTCTGTGGAGTTCTTAAACTTTAGCAATCATAAGCAACTGAGACCATGCAAATATAAGCAAAGGGTTTTTGAACAGAATTGTTAAAGAGATTCAGAAAGCCTACTGCTGAGAAAAGAGTCTAGCTAATTTTCTGTCTGTAGAAGACAGCCCTCTACCAGGTGAGATCTATTTGATTCAATGGGATAAGGAGAAACAAAGAGTTAAAGCTGTCTAATTGACAGCAAATGATACTATTTTCTTTTTTCTCTGTCTTGCAAAGAGCTTATGAAGCATTGCATGTTGCTAGTATTAAATGGTTTGTTATGAAGAGAAATGTGTATTCTTCAGAATACTCTTAGAATTATTATTACAATTATTTTTTATTATTTTTCTGTTGAGATAATGGATACTAATGGATACTAAATGGATAATAATGGAATAAATGGATAATAATTGAATAAATGGATAATAGGAAATAATGGATAATGCTAAGTGAAATGTTAGTTTAAACATGTTTCTTTAAAAATTTGAATTCATTTTCTCATTTTTTTCAATATTCCATGAACGCAAAAAGATTCCAGTTTCTGTGCACAGCTGTCAGTATGTAGAGTAACATTAATTGCATGGAGTGCCATATCTGTACATAAGAATTTAACATGTCAGGAAATTATTAGTGAAAGAAACAAATAATAGAGATGCCACATACACACTGTAGATGCTTCTTTGCTTCCTAATTAGAGGAAGTAGAATATTAAAACTGACTCCTATGTACATCATATAAGCTTATATTTTTGCATGAGGGTCTTTTAAGGAGCACTGAGCAGCCGGCATGCTTTCCTGCTCTGATCCAGTGTATCAGATATTACAAGGGCTACTATTTCACTAAGAATTGAGTAGAATCCTTGATCAATTCTGCTTATTGATTGCCAGCACTTTCCACAAGTATAATTGCCAAGTCAAAGTATTTGTAGCTGGTGCTTCCTGTATTACCTACTGTAATTTCAAATATTATCTCCACTGCCAGTCCTCATCCCCTGCTGCACAGTTTCAGCCAGTGCTGATGGGCACTTCCTTCCTGAGGAGATGGTCATGTGCGACTCCACAGGCTTCCTTCTGCTTTCTCGTCCTCTCAACGTACATGACTGTGCTAGGAAGGATTTTCTGCAGGGGAACATTTGCTTGCTTGGTTATACTCGTATAATTATACCAGGTGTAATTACACCAGCCTGGCCAGTATAAGTCCTCCTTTGGATATATATAGTATGGAATAAAGATATCTTTTTCTCCTGAAAGAGCTTTCAAAGTGACATAAGCTAAACCAGAGGTAAGCACTCATAGTCCATGTATGAATGTTCAAATAGAAAGTTATATTTATATCCCAATTCTAACAGTTATAATTAAGCCACTGTAACTATGCTGGTAAATTTCCCAGTGTAGAGAAGCCCTTAATTAGGAGGTAGGGTCTGAAAGGTTTTCAGTTGGCTAATGCCACCCAGCTTTAAAACAACACCATGTCCAATTTAGCCAGCAGCATTTTGTGCCTAGTTCTGAGTGGGGTAAGTCTGAGGTCAGAGGGGGACCTTTACAGGGTGTTCCTAATATATCTGAAGGTATAGATGTAGAGTCTGGGGGGGGGGGGGGGGGGCTTGGGAGTGGGAAGAGGTGATGTGGCCAGTGTGGTGTTTCCGACCTTTCTTAAGGATGCTTGGTCAGGATTCTTCTTTGGGTCAGGTTTGTGCCCGGCAAAGAGTTTAACTGTTTCTTTCTGACGTGGTCCAGGAGCCTTTGCCACTTCCAGGTAAGGCAGCTGCAGTGCACATTTGATTAAACCGTAGCTCCAGAAAAGTAGATTGATAAAGAACAGTGTCACCTACTTAATAGCTGATGTTGCAATAGCTCAGGGTTCTGCTGCTTTGTCATCTACAGGTATTAGCTTCCATACTGAATTTAATACACTAGTTTTGATTTAAAAAACTCCAAACTAGCTTTTCTATAGCTTTGGACTATAGACTTATAGAATCATAGAATAGTTAAGGTTGGAAAGGACCTTAAGATCATCAAGTTTCAACTCCCCTGCCATGGGCAGGGACACCTCATACTAAACCATGCTACCCAAGGCTCTGTCCAACCTGGCCTTGAACACCGCCAGGGATGGAGCATTTACAACTTCCCTGGGCAACCCATTCCAGTGCCTCACCACCCTTACAGTAAAGAACTTCTTCCTTATATCCAATCTAAACTTCCCCTGTTTAAGTTTTAACCCGTTACCCCTTGTCCTATCACTACAGTCCCTAATGAAGAGTCCATTCCCAGCATCCCTAGAGGCCCCCCTTCAGATCCTGGAAGGCTGCTATGACGTCTCCACGCAGCCTTCTCTTCTCCAGGCTGAAAAGCCCCAACTTTCTCAGCCTGTCTTCATACGGGAGGTGCTCCAGTCCCCTGATCATCCTCGTGGCCTCCTCTGGACTTGTTCCAACAGTTCCATGTCCTTTTCATGTTGAGGACACCAGAACTGCACACAATACTGCAAGTGAGGTCTCACAAGAGCAGAGTAAAGGGCAGGATCACCTCCTTCGACCTGCTGGTCACACTCCTTTTGATGCAGCCCAGGATACGGTTGGCTTTCTGGGCTGCAAGCGCTCACTGAAGCCGGCTCATGTTCATTTTCTCATCAACCAACACCCCCAAGTCCTTCTCCTTGGGCTGCTCTGAATCTCTTCTCTGCCCAACCTGTAGCTGTGCCTGGGATTGCTCTGACCCAGGTGTAGGACCTTGCACTTGTCATGGTTAAACTTCATGAGGTTGGCATCAGCCCACCTCACAAGCGTGTCAAGGTCCCTCTGGATGGCATTCCTTCCCTCCAGGGTATCAACCGAACCACACAGCTTGGTGTCATCAGCAAACTTGCTGAGGGCGCACTCAGTCCCACTGTCCATGTCAGCGACAAAGACGTGGAACAAGACCGGTCCCAACACCAATCCCTGAGAGACACCACTCGTTACTGGTCTCCAGCTGGACATTGAGCCATTGACCACAACTCTTTGTGTGCAGCCATCCAGCCAGTTCTTTATCCACCGAGTGGTCCATGCATCAAATTTATGTCTCTCCAATTTAGAGACAAGGATGTCATGTGGGACAGTGTCGAATGCTTTGCACAATTCTTTCCAGTGCAATAATGTTATAGTTCAAATGAGCAAAGGCATCTCCTCTAACTCTGAAGAGTAGAGGCAGGTGCCTATAAATCCCTTGTTAATATCATCCCTTTCTAGAAAAGCCTCAGTGTGCTGATACATCTTCAAGACATTTTGCAAAATACATCCTTTTCTATGAACTTCAGAGCTTATGTGTTGTGATGGAAATTGGAGCTCTGTAAGGGATGTGGTGGGGGAGTTTTGCACAAGCTTAATCCCGGGTTGTTAAGGAAGGACATGAATATTTCCATCTTGTCTGCATAGTTCAAAAGGTACAGAAATATTTTGGGTTAAGTGCTCATTCTTTGTGACAATTTCTGTAAATATTTAAGCATATACTGTCACATGCACTGATAACCTTTCACCTCAGAATTAGTTATATTTTAGTTGTAGGTGGAATAGTTTAAGTAAACTGTGTATACAAATTATATACCCTTGGAGAGCTAGCTGTTTGGGGAAATACCTTTTGATTTATATTTTTTTATTGTAACAAATTAATCTGAGTTCAGGAACAAGCATTGTACGAAGCATGGAAAAATTGCTAGAGAACTTGTATGATTTTAGATCTCTAGCCCTCATTTTATAATATTAGATTTTGGCCACTGAAAATAATGTATAATATCAGTAGAGATTTGCAGTTGTCCGAAAAGACAGACTGAAAAAAAAAGAAAAAGAGGAATAAATCCTCTACATTGTTGAACCCATTCAGAAGGGAAGGACTTCTAATCACATTTCAGCTTGTGCTGCAGATAGTGAGTAACTGGGGGGGAAATCAGATAAAAACTGTAGCGTTTGCAGACAAAATCTACAGCTCATAAATCAGGTGCACATCTTTTGCAGATTCAGAGTTGAATGGGTGAATTGCAGAGATTGATGCTAATGCTTTAATTCAACGCTCTCTTGCTTTTCCCAATAATGCTTGAAATGAGAAATGTCTGGTAGTTGACAATCAGAATCTGAGTAGCAGTTCTGCAATGAGAACAGAATATTTCCCCTGCTGTCAGAATTGTGTGTGATGCACAGCGGTGTTCTGCAGGGAACAATGCAGTTGATTTCATCCTCCAGCAACAAGTTTAGTTACTTTGTCATACATCCGTCTTTCCTCACTTTATTGGGGGGGTCTAATTCTAACTGCTTTTGCATAGGGAAACCTGCAGTTGAAGGCAGGAAATATTTGGCTGCTGTGAGGCTGTCACGGAGTTAGTCTGATAGCTTTGTGAAGTGCTTCAGGATCCTTTGGGATGACATGTGCTATATAACTTCCAATTATTATGTTTTAAACTGTTAATTTAAAAATGCCTGCTTAAGTTTTTGGCACAGAGAGGCAGGACTTCTTGACTCAAAGTTGGAGGCATATGTAAAAGCAACAGTGAGTGGCTTTAATGAAGTTGTCCCTAGGCTCTATATTTTGAAGCACTTCTTGGAGAAGTGTGTGCTGCCAGGCTGTTTTTTCCCAAGCTCTTACAGCTCTAGTAATATGGTTTGAAATGAAAATAAAATACAGAAGCTTAGTTAACTTATGCCACTTCCTTAGGTGTGTTTAACACACAGGCTGACTCATGAACTTATTTGGTCATTTTGATGATTGGCCAATTATGTATAATACACCATACACCAGCTTTTTATTTCCTATTTAATTCTGTAAAACAATTACAGTACCTCTCTCAGAAGCAATTGTAGTCTTTTTAAATGTCACAGCATATTAAATATGCATGTATTTTGGCAATTGGCATTACTTCTTGAAAGATCTTTTATGCACACTATAGATAAAAGACAACAGATTTTGAAGAAAGATTGCATGCCACAGAAATAAGGAACGGCAGTGGTACAATGTGTAGCTGCTAAGTTGTATTAAGTTGTGGAAAACATTTCTGGACAAAAAACTTTTAGTATGGTTTTGTTGTAACCTTTTTCTTTCCATGGAAAACATTTTATCCTTGGGGAAAAAGAAACCTAACTCTTTCTTTTCCTTAAAAACAAAAGCAAACGAACAAAACATAAAATCCAAACCTGTTTATTTTGAACTGACGTTAAGAAACCAAATGAACAGTTTCTGTTCCAGTAGAAGTATGTAATTTTGAATTTAACATCAAAATATTTATTAAAATGATAAACATTAGCTTTTTTTTGTTGACTGCCTGATCCTTTTTTTTTCTTTTTTTTTCACTTGAGACCTGTAAAACTGCATAAAATTTTAAGTGTGTACAAATAGCAGCATGTTTGAATAAGGAAATACAATTCTGATCTGTCTGATTGTTAACTTTGGGAAAAGCAGATGAAGAATGAGACACTGTCCTAAAAATGCTGTCTCTGTTCAGTAAGTTTCCCCCTTCGTATTGCTATATAACAGTCAGTGGCCCTGATCCAACATGCACTAAACTGGAAGGTTTGTTCAGATTCATGCACAGTTCCATCAGCTTTTGTAGAACAGCTTTTATGCTAAAAATTAAGCACATGCATGAATGCCTGCTGGAGCAGAGCCTAACTTAGCAAAGGGAATTTACCCCCTTGAAGCACAGTGCTTCACAAACCCAGTACTGTGAGACTGTATGCACAGTGTGTTCCAGAGCTACGCTCAGTGACTGATTCATCATTTGACTTCAGTATGTGCTCATTTTGTATTCTTTGTTCCAAAATGTGGATTTGAATACAAATGAGCCTGAACACAAGCCAACAGAGAGACCTCCTTCTGTCTCAAAGTATTAAATGCCTAAGCATCTTCAATTAAAAAAATAAACAAGGGACCTGACACTAACTGGCCTGAGCTGTAACAGACATGCGCTTATGTGGTTTTATTTATTTTTCACATGTGTGTAATTGAACACTATCAAGGCAAGCCACAATAAAATACAATGGAACTTCAGCATTAACATCTGTTTGCCGGATGCTGTGCAGTGGAGGCAAACAAAGTTTACATTTTAAATCAATCTCTCTTATAGTCTCCTTTCCCCGTAAGAGAAGCCAGTGGGCATGTACCAGGCCTTGGGCATGGACCAGGATTTTGCCATCACACTGTTCATTAAGGTAAGAAACAGGGTGCTGGTGCTGGGTATGCTTTTAGCTAATCTGCTCAGACAAACACCCCTGTGATTTGTATGCCCTTCCTGATATTGAATTGCAGATCACAGGAAAATGCAGGCTGATAATGTCAAAGCACGCAGATCCCAGAATGAAAGCGAAGAACAGCACCTTGAACTGCAACTGTTCAGGGAATCTGCTATAAATCTTGTTGTGGCATTAGAGCAGAACAGGTGAAAGCCACCCACTGTGTTTGGCTTGTAGCTGCCACTTGGGTTTTACAAGCCTGTTCACTTTGTTTTTCTGTTAAGATGCTTTGGTGGTCTCTTACACTGCCATGCAGTTCAGTGCTCTTACAGCAGCAGTGACTTGCTAGAGGATGAAAATTTTTGATGAAATGCATGTTTATGTGAGAGGAGTGACAGGCATTACTGGCAGCAGTCAAGACTTTCAGTCAAGAAAGGGAGAAGCCCATTTCCATTCCAAGGCCTGATGCAGTCTTTAAGCTTTGAGTTTGGACTAAAACCCTGGCAAACTCTAGGTAAGCGGCAAAACACTCAATAATCAGGATTAGGTAATAATTTAAACCATTTATGGGACCTTTGTGAGTCCTGGGCATGGAGACAAATTTCCCTCAGAATTTCCGTTGAATCTGGGGAAAAAGTCAGAGTGCATAAACGAAGATAGGAGTATGGAGGAAGCAGTAAATGATTGCCTGAGAGGAGCTGCTCAGTGAGCCTGTGCTGTCACATAGCACTACCACAGAACTGCTCAATAGGTAAAGCCTGTCCTCAGAAACTGGCAATTTTGGCAACAAAGATTCAGGAGGGTGCAAGCTTGGACTGTAGGAAGAAGGTGCAAGCTCACCGTGCTACAACCTGCATCCCTTTAGTAGAAAAATCTCTGATTGCACTACATGAAGAGGTTTGGTGCATGCTGGGTATAGAGTTAGCTGCTCTGGTGCTTTTCCATCTTCTCTCCTGCCTGAAATACTACAGAATTTTTTCCTAGTAGACAGCAGGTAGACAAGTGGTAGAGTAATTTTCTGGGGGAAAATGATGTTGGAAGGAGGATGAAGCAAGACAGGACAATGTCTCTATTCTTTGGTTGAAGTCCTTTCAGCTTTGCAGGAAACACAAGCAGGAATGGTTATTTAGCCACCCTCAGCCCTGCAACTGAGTGAATGAAGTAGTTGCCTACTCCTCTGGAGGATCCCTTTGGTGTCTTAGTTATTTTCCTTGTGTGATCATTACAGGCATTTTCTATAATCCCAAATTTGGAGCAGAACCAGTGGTGAATCAGGTAGCAAAAAGAAACCCTAATGTTAGAAGTTGTTGTGGATTCCAGACTGTTTCAATGATGCCTCAGGCCAGAAGACTTTAAGCTTGGTGGGGTTGAGTCCAAATGAAATGTGCAAAGATACTTCCTGCAGGAATTGCCACACTAGTGACTGGTTAAACAATGAAAACAGATGGGTTTTTGTTCTGGGTGCTTTGTAATGAGATCTATTCAAATGATTAATGAGTTACTGGAGAACAAGTATAGGCCTAACTATTATTCTGTATGGCATTCATGAACTGCGTGAACATAGCTGTTTGGCTGAAGAAAAACTCAAAAGTCAGAGCTTTGAAAACCTTAAGCACAGAAAAATGTTACACTATTTGTGTCTCCAGGAAGCACATAGTAATGTGAAACATCCACCACATGCTTAAATTGTGTAGGATAATTTATATATGTACATGTGTGTCTATATTTATAGGGGGAGAGAGAGTGTAATAAAATTATGTGATACTACAGTTTTAAAGCTATTTGCAGATATTCTATAGCAATTTTGTAAAAGCAATAT